ATGGACTCCATTGTTGTTTCTCGCACACTAGGTCTGACGCAAGCTGGTGGAAGCATTCTAGGAACTCTGATCAGTGGCTGGCTGGCCAACAGGGTCAACACCAAGCTAGGATATAACAACATCATCATGGGCACCCACCTGCTGTCGATGTGCATCACTCCGCTGTATGTCGTTTTCGGCTGCAATAACCAGCCGATCTATGGACACGAAGGAAGTCTGTAAGTATTTCACTTGTGGTTACATTGTGTCGGCTCTGTGGCTAAGTCGATGCCAACGCTTCGAAATGCCGGGATGCCGGGTTCGATACCAGCTGCGGGCCATGCGTTGCGTTGGTTTCGACAGTGGTATCAAGAAAGCCGACCGTCCAGAAAGCAATGACAAACTACTGGACGTAAATTTGCCTAGAAAAACCACACAGCAGCCAGAGGCTGTTGGAGTTGGTTCTGCAAAGTCCTGTAAAGGATACGCAACTAAAAAAAAAAGGTTACATTGTAACGGTTCAGCTTTTGAATGTCCGGTGTCGTATCATGGCTGTGTAAATGAGGTAAGATAAACAAGCAAATGGACCCTCTTTCACGCCTTTCCGACGTATTGAGCCTATAAGATTAGACCTATGTTTTAGACTACACGGCATTTGATGACCGATATGGTCAAAAGCATGCTGCTGCCTTTACTTCCCATGGCTGTATCCGGTACCCATTTAAGACTGGGTCGACCTGGGAGCCAGGGTAATTTAACTCTTTGAGTTAAGAGAGACGTAAAATCGGCGCATCTTGCGTTTATTGGGCTTGTAGGTAGGAATCTATGAACGTATGATGCGTTCCTTGGGACTAAAAGAGTTGAGAAAAAAATTGCGGCTCCGTCTTGACCCGAACTCACAACCTAACTATCAGAAGGCGAGCGTCTAGTCTAGGCGCTACACCACTGCGGCTGCCAAATTAAGATGCAACAAAGCTAAATTATATGTAGAAAGAAGCTTACATGAGGAAAATGATGGGGCGCTTCGGTAAACATAACCGTTTTGTTTTTTTCCAGAAATAATCCCATAAGAACAGAAAGAATATTATCACACAGGGTACTATTTCTACTGTAAATTAAATTAAAGATAGTGAATTAAGCATCACTCTATTGCCATCTGTGAAAGCTAGCGAGATTCTAAATCTGAACTAAACCAAAGCTATGACTAATACTAACCAAGGGGACACAAATATATAAGCCATCCCGAAATGTATTCATCTTTTCGAGCCTGTGGGTTGTTATAATTGAATGTTGAATAAATCGACATCACAGCACTCGAGACACTCCCATAAGCATTGGGTCCCCATCTTCAGCAGTGCCATTCTCCTCAGACCGTAATGATCTATCTGTTCCTCGGCACTGTTCACTTGCTCCCAAAGGGCCCTCACAACATCCAGCTTGTCATATAACATGTCATATATGTTAGAATTGAGAATCTGTAATTATTGTCACATGAAGAAGAGAGACATTGGAGAAAATTGTGACAGCTGGAAAGATCAGTGGTCAAAGAGGTTGAGGTAGACCAAGAGAGAGAGAGAGAGAGAGAGAGAGAGAGAGAGAGAGAGAGATGCTGGATGGGCTGAAACGATGGCATGGAGGGATATCATCAAGAGAGCTTTTACAGGCAACAAGGGATCGTGGTCTGTGCAGACGCATGAGCGCCTAAGCCAGTTGGCAGGGGGCACATAATGTGATGAATCATAGTCAGACTGCAAGAACGGGAGGAAACAAAGGTGTGACCAGATCAGACAGGGAGAACTGTGTAGGCAGCCAATGCAGGTTAACCAGCCAACACAGAACTACTGTCACCTTCAACTACACACTGTGGGATTTGCTGAGGAAAAGATCCTTGCACCTTATAGGCTGAATGATTCGATGTACAGTGAGGCTAACTCAGCTAAGTTGTTTGATAACATAACCATTTTAAAATATCAAAAACTAAAATGCCATTTGTTTACTGCGATCGCTTTATTGAGATGACTGTTGTGTGTTTACAGAGGAATACCCGTAAATATGACAGACACATGCCAGTGTGTGGGGACTACCAACCTGCTGTCGTGTGGAGCTGACGGCAACAACTACCTATCGCCCTGCTACGCCGGGTGCCAGAGTGTCAGTGGCAAAGTGAGTGCTTAACCAGTTGGGGAGGGGGAGTAGATGTTATGTTAACGAGCTGCAGTAGCTTTGACAAGGGTCTTTTTCTTCTTCTTCTTCTTCTTCTTCTTCTTCTTCTTCTTCTTCTTCTTCTTCTTCTTCTTCTTCTTCTTCTTCTTCTTCTTCTTCTTCTTCTTCTTCTTCTTCTTTTTTTTCTTCTTCTTCTTCTTATTCTTCTTCTTCTTCTTCTTCTTCTTCTTCTTCTTCTTTTCTTCTTCTTCTTCTTCTTCTTCTTCTTCTTGTTCTTCTTCTTCTTCTTCCTCCTCCTCCTCCTCCTCTTCTTCTTTTTCTTCTTCTTCTTCTTCTTCTTCTTCTTCTTCTTCTTCTTCTTCTTTCTTTCTTTTCTTCTTCTTCTTCTTCTTTTCTTTCTTTCTTCTTCTTCTTCTTCTTCTCTTCTTCTCTTCTTCTTCTTCTTCTTCTTCTTCTTCTTCTTCTTTCTTCTTCTTCTTCTTCTCTTCTTCTTCTTCTTCTTCTTCTTCTTCTTCTTTTCTGTCCCCCCCTTATTGCCCAATAGATTATAAGTCATCAACTAAGTCATTGCATGTCCTCCTTTTCTGTGTCATCGGTTTAAGCCCACACCGTGTCTTCCTCATCTTTTTAACTTTACATTTTGGTGCCCTCTTCGTGTGTTTTTAGTGTGCGTTTATTCCTTTGACCCCGTGGGTTTCCTCTTATCTGACGCCATTGTCTAATCAACACCTTTTGATTCACTGGGACTGGTTTAATTCTCGTCAAAAGCTCTACAGTGTTGATGTGCGTAGATTATTTGTAACTGTAGGTATTAAAGTTGTACCTATATTGTGTTTCTTCTGACAGATATTCACACGGAGTGCAGTGGGTTGACTGGATCCACAAATATGACCATGACCTCCGGACTGTGTGATAGCGACTGCTATAGAAACTTTGTCCTGTACGTGGTGCTGCACGCGGTACAGAGCACGCTCTACTCAATGTCATCCATACCTATGAGATTGCTTATTCTCAGGTACGTTCTACTCTAGCTCACGGTAACCCAAAGTGCAAGTAACCGCATTATATTTAGGTGCTGAATTAGGTATCTCAGTGATTTAGCGAACCACACTAAAACGTTACAACGGGTATAGAGAGAGTGGAAGACCTCGGAAAATATGGAGTGATGGCATTAAGAAGAGCCTTACATAAATGAACATCAGTCTTAACAGTACTCTTGACAGAGCTCATCAACGAACATTACATCTCCCCCCGACACTTCGATGAGGTACAAGGTTGAAGAGCAGAAGAAGTGATTCAGTGAGCCACTATTGGATGGCTGTCTAAATGGCTAGTGACGGATGCCATGTTGACGTGGCAGTTAAAGAGTTTTAGAGACTTAAAGAGTTAAAATACTGGGACCTACCGCTGCAAATGTTCCAACCTGCTGTGCTGTTTCGATAGGGTCAAATGTTGTTTCTCATTAAAGGTGGAACTTCGTGGAGACAGACCTGCATACAACAGCTGCAACAGGCAGGTTATTAAATACATTTAAATATTGCGGCAGTCGATAAGAGACTCGCTTTCAAATCCAGCTGCGACTCGCTGCAGCCCACAATCTGTGTTCGAAACCGGGCGGTTCACCCAGCCTCTAGTAAATGGGTACCAGAGTTAACACTCTGGGGTAAATGAAGGAACGTCTCTGTAGCTACAGAGTTACGTGCGAACTGTGACACAGGCGGACAATTCTTTTCAGCTGTCTGTACTAGTGGCAGAGCACTTATGGTTTATAACCGTGTGCAATGACGCTGGTTCACATCTCCTGACTTTACCTTTACAAACAAAATATTGTACAACTTATTTCCATGGATATTTAGCACCACTTTGTTACCTGGGTTACTATATAATTACATTAACATATAATAAAGCATAAGTTGTTGTTGTTGTTATTGATCCAGCGGCACATGAGCTTTCGCCCTTTGGCCCAATGCCATGTAGTGGAATTTACGTTTTCACAAGCTGTTCTTTTCCTACGTACAAAGTGTTCCACTTGTCTGGTCTCGGAGGGAGTAGCATTCTTCTAGTCTCGTTAAGTTTTGGGCACTCAAAGAGATGATGGTCAACAGTTTCGTAGGGGTAGTTACATAGCTAACAGTCTGGGGAGTGTTGTGGCTGTATTCTGTTTAGGTGTCCATTGAGTGGAGTATGTTGTGTTCTGAGTCTGAAGATGGTGGCCTGGTCCCTTCTTGTTAAATAGTTAATGCTGTCATAAGGATAAGGGCTAGCCATGTGTCTATAAACCTCTCTCCCCGTATCTGGAAGATTATAAGAAATAAGAATAAAGTATAAGAAATGAATAAACTCAACTGAAATACCAAATGGTTTCTTACGATCCATTGTTGTCTAATCGGCCTACATTCCCCGACGCAATTCCCGTGACTTACCAGAGTGAATGCAATCTATTGTTTCTATCCGCATTATTTCAGTTCACAGTGGGAAAATATTGTTTCTGAATATCTCACATGCACGTCGTAGGCGTTTGTGGCTTAGGCGTTGCAAACGAGCTTCGTAATGCCGGGGTGCCGGGTTCGATCCCAGCTGCGGGCCTTGCTCCTTGCGTTGGTTTCGACAGTGGTATCGAAAAACCGACTGACCAGAAAGCAATGGTAAACTCATCATCATCATGCGTCTCTACAGATCACGATCCCTGGTTGACTGAAACAGCTCTCTTGATGATATCCCTCCATGCCATCGTTTTAGCCCATCCAGAATCAAATCTCTTGGGCAAACTACTGGACGTATATTTGCCTAGAAAAATCACAACAGCCAAAAAAATGCTGGGATTGGTTCTGCAACGTCCTGTAAAGGATACGCATGTCGTTGAAACTCTACGATAGTAGAATATTTAGAAACTTTGAACAGTCGAGAATATCTTGAGCTTTAGAGATACGTCAACTGAATGAGAAATAAAGGTAATGGCCAGCAGGAGAATTTGCATAAAATTGGGCACTGCAAAATGCAGAGGGATATGAATGAATGACGTAAATGATGGATGCACAAAAATATGCATAAAACGAAAATGAGAGATGAGAAGAAAGTAAAGAGTGTTAAGAAAGGATGGTTGGGAGTAAATGTATGTTGGTAGGAAAAGGGGTTTGGGACAGAAGGAAATTACGAATAGCGGATTCCTTTATTTTTTGTAAGTGCTAATCAATAGCCATTAATGAACTGCATTATTCCAATATTTACAGGATGGTTGATCCCAGAGATCGAGGTTTTGCAACAAGTGTCTTCGGATTCTGCTTCACACTCAGTAAGTATGAAACCGAATATGCAAGTGAATTTTTCCTGCATGAGATTGAAGGTTTACATGAAAGAAATATAATCTTTCAGAGCAAATCGTACATTTTCACATAGTATAAAATTGAACTTTTTAAAATAACTTATTTTCTCCATTTAATGATTGCATATCGTGGCCAAGCTATTGATTTCGCCACATCGAGTGATTTAATTTCACCAGTAAGAGATTGAATCTTCTTTATTGGCTTAATGATCCCAGGTAGAGAGTGAGTGTTTCCTATGAGGTCTTTGAATATTTCCGCATTTAAAGCTGGAATCATAAGCATGATTAGATTTATGATAGTCATAAAATAATTTTAGTAGTTCTACTTACATAAAATTGAAAAATATATCGAACGCCTCTCTGCGACTCTTTACAAAACAAGCAGTTAGAAAAAGAAGAAGTTAAGTACAAAATGATATTATTAAAAACAATATTTATCATAGTCCTATGGAGTAAGAAAGTGAAGTAAGGTGAGCTCTTTTTATATTATTATTTTTTTTTCATGTCAACGAGTGTAACACCTTTTATGTGTCGGGGTGTGGGAAAGAGGGGGGGGGGGATAAAGACTAAAGACCTTTTTTCATGTCACTGAAAGGGGGTTGGTGAGGAAAAGGGGAAAAAGGGGAGGGGGGTAGTGTCAGCTAAATGTTGGTAGATTCATATCTTTAATTGTCCGGTCGGTACGCTGTGGATGTTATAGTCAGCCCCATACCGACTGCCTTTACTTCACATAACATTTGCTGGTACTCATTTTAAGTTTAGTCGAACTAGGAGCAGAAGATCAGTTATAAATATCCGCCCAGTGGCGGATTCAAACACAAGATCTCGGGGCCAACTGCAGGTGTCAATGTGTTGATGCTACTCCCAGGACGATAGAGTGGTAAACTTGTACCTTATGTGCTGACGAAGGATGTTTCAGCATCAGTTCTCGTTATGCCTAGTGGCACATGAGGCTTCAGAGAGGACTTTCCATGCTTTCCTGTCCTGTGCAATCTTCAGTGCAGTTTTCCATGTCAAAGATGCCGCACTCAGGTCACTTTCCATCGTTCGTCTCCATGTTGTTTTTGGGCGCATCTGTTTTCTCTTTTCCTCTGGTGTCCATATGAGAGCTGTTTTGGCAGGTATATCAGGATTCATTCTCATAATGTGGCCAAGCCATTTCCATCTTCTCTTGATAATCATACTGTCTAAAGTTTCTTGGTTTGTGACATGAAGTAGTTTAGTGTTTGAGATTGTATCTGGCCAGAAAATTTTGATAATTCTACGTAGAGATGTGTGGTGGAAGGTGGACAGCTTGTGTACATCTTTTTTGGTCATTCTCCAGCATTCCGCTCCATAAAGAAGAACTGGCAAATTGAGGCTCTTGTAGAGTCGGAGTTTGGCTCCTTTGCAGTAACGGTTGGATTTCCAGATTTGCCTCATCCTTCCAAAAGCAGCTCAAGCTTTGAACTGTTTGACGAAGGCTGTTTAGCCGCAACATTTACTTGTACTTTGTTTTTCTGAAAATGTGAAACTGATTGTTCTACTCATTTTTTGGCTTGATATCTTTTCATGATTAGGTGTTTAAAAAAAAAACAGTTTTGTCAAATCATAACGTAAACAGGACAACCACAGTGTGCAGTTGTTGATTCAAATTAACAAATTATTTTTCCAAATTTAATAAGATAATATAAACGTAACGAACAAAAGACGTTAATGCTATAACTATAATAGAGTAGAATCAAGTAAAAAGTGGTGAAAACAGAAGAAATTCAGAAAACATCTATGGTAAAAGGTTAGTTGTGGATCCTTTACAGGACGTTGCAGAACCAACCCCAACAGCTCCTGGCTGTCGTGTGGTTTTTCTGGGCAAATATTCGTCCAGTAGTTTGCCATTGCCTCCTGGACGGTCGGCTTTCTTGATACCACTGTCGAAACCAACGCAAGGCGCTTGGCCCGCAGCTGGGATCGAACCCGGCATGCCGGCATTACGAAGCGTTGGCATCGACTTAACAACAGAGCCGACATCTCCGGTAAGGAGTTACCAAACAAAGCATGAGAGCTGACAGGTAGCAGATGCTTTAAAAATAACCAATTGTGTTATATTCCTTCAGTGGCCATTCCTTCACCCAATCTGTTCGGAAAAATAATTGACAGTACCTGTGTGATCTGGAATGGAAATACTTGCAGTCTCTACGACAGGGACAAGATTAGGTAGGTACAGACCCGATACATGTGTGTGTGTGTGTGACTAGATAGATACCAATACACTTGTCTGCCTCTCTACCACCATACGCATGTACCGGCATTCACATTTATTAATGTACCAACCCATCCATATACCTTAATATCAGCTTACACATATACCAACATAAGTAAAAGTAAAAGTAAAGTAAAGTAAAGGACCCTTTTCCACGCCTTTAGGCGTAAAGGGCATATAGGGCTAGACCTATATTTGTATAGACCAATCGGCACAAGATGGGCGATGTAGTCACCCCGGCCGCCTTTACTTCCCGGGATTGCACCCGGTACCCACTCAAGGCTGGGTCGACCTAGGAGCCAAGGTCATTTTTGAAAATAATCCGGCTCCGCCATATACCAACATACCTACACATTAATTTACCAATATACCTAATAACCAGCATTTCTGTATTCTTATATGCTGACATACTCATACACCTGCATACCAACATACTTACATACATATACTAAAAATACACATATACCAATGAACCTAACACTACTAGACAATCTTTGTACCTAACTACAGTCTCTGTGACAGATTATGTATGCACATCATTGCAACCTTTACAGTATTTACCAACATAAAAATAGGCAACGTATTATCTATATCTTTTGATATACTGGATTCACCAGTGATCTATTTATGTATATTTATAAGTAAATGTCATTTTTTCCACGACCCGGGTTAGTTGAAGGCCTATGCTCCGGAAGGTTAGGTTAGTTGCGTATCCTTTACAGGACGTTGCTGAACCAACCCCAGCATTTTTTCGCTGTTGTAGTTTTCCTAGAAACATTTTACGTTCAGTAGTTTGCCATTACTACTGAACGGGCAGCTCTCGGTACCGCTGTCGAAACCAATGCAAGACAAATCGTCCGCAACAGGGATCGAACTCGGCACCCCGAATTTACGAAGCGCGGTCGCAACGCCTAAGCAACAGACGCCGACAAGGACGCCGCTCCGGAAGGGAGAAGAAGAAAACATTATTAATCTTTTAGTCTCAAGCATGATCAATACTTTCAAAGTTGTTAAACTTCAAAGTAACAATTATGCAAGCCAAGTCAGATGTAGGGGTCCTTTGGGAGCAAGTGAACAGTGCAGAGGCTCGAACAGATCATTACGGTCTGAGTAGAATCTGACTGTAAGCACTGATCAATGAATCTGGCCGACGCCCAACACTCAGGGAACGTGCGAAACGGAAACAGTAAAACTATTACTGGTACCATCAGATCTGGAACTTTACTTTTGCTGCTAAAGGTGGGGCCAGGGCGCTTACGAGATTGTCTGAGCGCTGTGATGTCGATTTGTGATTCAGTATTCAACATTTAAAGTTATTAATCCAAAAGTTTAGATAAGTGGTAATAGTACATTTTACCCCACTAGGACATTATACAAGCGACAAACACTCGATGACACAAAGTGCCACCATGTGGATGAGGATCACCCGTGGAGAGGTCCCGGAAACCGCGTTCAAACATTCCGCCATATTTATGGCTGGGCTATATTGCGGCCCCTGGTAAGAGCCAGGTTGGGGCTTCAAAATAACGAAAAATTACACCCCACAAGGGGATGAGTGTAATACAGGTAGATGAGTTACTTCACTACGGCTAAGAGACACTCTGAGTTCATGAAACAAACGGGATTTAGTTAATGAATATTACAGAATGATCAGACAGAGTACGTAAGGAAAGTAAACGACCCCTTTCCACTCCTTTCAGGCGTATTGAATATTTAGGGCTAGATCTATATTTTATAGACCAACGGCACAAGATGGGTGATGTGTTCAGCATCACGCCGCCCGCCTTTACTTTCCAGGACTGCACCCGGTACCCACTCAAGGCTGGGTCGACCTGGGAGCCAAGGTCATTTTTGTAAAAATGTCCGGCTCCGCCAGCGAGCGAACCCACAACGTTCCGATCCACAGGCGAGTGTAAGACAGTTTAACCCCAAAAATATATAGAATGTAGGGGTTACCAATAAGAGCATGGGGATGTACTTGGTACTGAAAGACCTAACTAACGGTTTGGGTTTAAATCTTCCTCAGGTACTTCCTGTCAGGCCTGGATGTGGGCGTCAGCTTCGCCGTGGCGCTGACAAATTTCCTCATCTTTTACCTGTTCAGGAAGGAGGAAATCAGAATGAAAAAGAAAATTGAAGAAGAGGGAGTCGACAAAATTCAAAACGAAGTGAAGATATAGGATATAAGTATGAGTATGGCTCGACATGTGGTAACAGTAATCAGAGATAGGGCCTGTAGAGAGGGTGAGATGAGAAAGTTGAGGAAGTAAGAGGGAGAGGAGGAGAAAGAAATAGACGAGTGAGTGAGTGAGTGAGTGAGTGAGTGAGTGAGTGAGTGAGTGAGTGAGTGAGTGAGTGAGTGAGTGAGTGAGTGAGTGAGTGAGTGAGTGAGTGAGTGAGTGAGCGAGAGAGTGAGAATGAGAGAGAGAGCGAGAGAGAGAGAGAGAGAGAGAGAGAGAGAGAGAGAGAGAGAGAGAGAGAGAGAGAGAGAGAGGAGAAGGTGGAGACAATGTCTGTGAGAAAATGTTAATGTATTTATGTAACGACACTAAAGCTATGTCCGCAAAGAATTTGTGTCTTCACTGAAAAACCAATAAATTAAGCCTATCGCTTTCACAACGCATTGAGTGGCATGTCCACTTACAGCTCGTTGAATGCATCTCGCTGGGTATGGATACTTTGTTCTGCGGCATTATCCACTTGGTCTCGAGGCTATTCACAATGTAAGTCACCACGCAAAGTTTAAGCAGCAGCCAGTTTGCATTTTGCTCATTGTTCCGTACGCCCGCATGTCCTGGGACAAATGCACGTTTGCTCCAATGTCCAATGCCATTTTATCGCAGTTTCTTTCAAGAAGGTAACACAGTTTTCTAAAATGTTTGCATAATTTCCAATCGTTTGTTCTCAAAATGAGTAATCATTTCTGTCAAATCCCTCTCATATATTGACTGACCTAGCTGTCCACTGTCGTTCCCTATCTCTAGTTTACTGCAGTTTGATAAACTATACATGTCAACCTGCCTAGCATCCACACGATACTGAAGAAATATCAGCTGCGCTGGGCTGGTCACCTAACCAGCATGCCAGAATATAGCCTCCAAAAGAAAATATTTTATGGTGAGCTCCAGCAAATGAAGAGGTCCCAGGGAGGACAGAAAACGCACTTTAAGGACACTCTTAAGGCTGCTCTCAATTCTTTTGGCATCAACACAGCGACGTGGGAGGTTGCTGCTTTAGATCGTTCTGGATGGCGTACATCCCTCAGGCACGGTGCATAGGCCTGCCAAGCAGAGGAGGTTGCACAGGCAGTGAAACGGAGGCAGACTAGAAAGAACCATATTGCTAATCCCACACCTACTGCGGTTTCCATTTGTTGTCCGCACTGCTCAAGAACTTTCCGGACTCATATTGGACTAATCAGCCACCTTCCTACTCATAATCATTGATCATTACTACTTTGAATAAAAGTAGTCTTCATTACTCATGATGAACGAACAACAACAAGTGTCAACCTAAATAGCCAACCTGTTCTATATAATTTGTGTGTCATTATACATCACAGTCGGCATTCGTATTTCCTTCACCAAACTCAGTATTATGGCTCTATCTTGTTCTGAAATGGATGAAAGGTAACACTGCTGTATTTGATGTTCGTTTTGTCTCAGGGCAGAGATTCGTGTGGCGTAAAATTAAACGTCCCTACATTTATCCAGAGTTCCTGTAACATTGAAACGTTTGTACATTAAGAGCTTATTCACAATAAATACTTTGACAATGAAAATACATTTTTTGGTGTGTTATTTTATGAGACCGTTACAATTTGTCATATGTGTCTTCCCATCTTTCCACTGCATCTGTGAGTATTAATCTAAAGGGTTAACACTTTCAGTCTCAAGCAACTCAACATATTTCATTGGTTAGTGAAAAGACAGTACAGGTTTCTTAACTCTTCTATTGACAAATTGTTCAGTCACATGAATATAACAGAAAAACTAAGCTCACTGTGACCCGTAGTTATCTTTTTCAGACTTAAAAACTAATTACTTTAAACTAGAACTTGTCAGGATATAAACAGTTGCATGAATTTCATCCTGGTACTGTAAGAGTTAATACAGAACATACAGAGAGAATGACGGATAATAGAGATAAAAACTGTACAGTAAAGTAAGTAAAGGACCCTTTTACACATAGGGGGGGCACATAGGACTAGACCTATATTTTATAAACCAAACGACACTTAGTGGGTGATGTGGTCAGCATCACGCCGAACGCATTTACTTTCCAGGGCTGCACTTTCAAGGTTGGGTCGACCTGGGAGCCAGGTTATTTTTTGAAAAAAAAATCCGGACCCTATCAGGATCCGAACCCACGACTATCCGATCCGCAGGCGAGCATCGAGCTGTTAGACCACGGCGGCTCCTTTAAAAACCGTGCATAAAAAAATAAATAATTTGAATGATAGTAGATCAAGAGGCAATGCTTAATAACGATGGAGGTAATCATTTATATACAAGATGATACAAATGCTTGGAACAACTAAGTGAATATGATGTAATCGGTAATGCGCTTTTCAGCCTAAACATTGGTTAACATTTAACCCCCAAAAAAGGCGGGCTTTCTACTTGAATAACAGGGCTCTAGGTTCATGAAAGTGCGAACTAAACAATTTCCAGGTTTTTCTAGTAGATTTGTTGAGGATGCAAACTCGACAACAAAGTGCAAGGCCACCCAGCTTCATATGTTATGGCCTATATGCGAAACCCTATGACTTTCTTTCCCAAAGGCCTTTCTTTAAAAGTCGACCTCTATCTATATGCACATTCCAAGTGGCGACAGTGGCGCAGTGGACATATCTTCTTCTTTGTGTTCGGTTTCGAATGCTCAGATCAGACCATCAGGTGGGTCGCCTCTATGAACTCGCATGTCAGCTGCAGGTCCTTCATGGTTCCCCATA